ACGAGCGTTCGCCACGGATGCGGCGAGCGAGCTGGATGTCCTTGGGCATGATCGTGACACGCTTAGCGTGGATGGCGCACAAGTTGGTGTCTTCGAAGAGACCGACAAGGTAGGCCTCAGCGGCTTCCTGGAGAGCGAGGACGGCCGAGCCCTGGAAGCGCAAGTCCGTCTTGAAGTCCTGGGCGATCTCGCGGACGAGACGCTGGAACGGGAGCTTGCGGATGAGGAGCTCCGTCGACTTCTGGTACCGACGGATCTCACGGAGCGCGACCGTACCCGGGCGGTAGCGGTGGGGCTTCTTGACGCCGCCCGTGGCCGGGGCGCTCTTGCGGGCAGCCTTCGTGGCGAGCTGCTTGCGGGGGGCCTTGCCACCGGTGGACTTGCGGGCGGTTTGCTTGGTACGAGCCATTTTGTTGAGAGAACGAGTTTTCGGAAATGTCAATCCTGTGCAGCACTCCATGCTCTAGCCAATCAGCGCGCGAGCTCCCCTGGCGCCTAAGCCTTGGCCAATGGCCTAGCTTCCCGCATCTTCTCAGCCAATGGCCTGACGGCTTGGAAATATTCCTCCAATCCAAACCTGTTGTCGTCCTTAATGCAGTATGGGCCAATCAGAAACCGTATCTCGCGCCTTTGATTTGGACCAATCGCAATCCGCGGTAGCCTCCTCTAGACTCATTTTCAGTTTTCCCTCCAAGAAACAAGAGCAAACATGTCTGGTCGTGGCAAGGGCGGCAAGGGTCTCGGCAAGGGCGGTGCCAAGCGCCATCGCAAGGTCCTTCGTGACAACATCCAGGGCATCACCAAGCCGGCCATCCGCCGCCTCGCTCGCCGTGGCGGTGTCAAGCGTATCTCGGGCCTCATCTACGAAGAGACCCGTGGTGTCCTCAAGGTCTTCCTCGAGAACGTCATTAAGGACTCGGTCACGTACACGGAGCACGCCCGCCGCAAGACCGTGACGGCCATGGACGTCGTCTACGCTCTCAAGCGCCAGGGCCGCACGCTCTACGGCTTCGGCGGTTAAATTTGCGATGCCTGACGAGTGCAAACGCTCAATTTCGAGACTTTTGTCTCTCTACATCTGGTGTTTTTCAACACCACCCATTTTTATAAGAAAGAGCTATCCAGTACTCTCTCCAGCAGTAGCTTGGTAGATTGGTTCGAGTCCCTATACATGTACATCACTCATTAGGCACGGCAGACTGCGAAGTGACTACCGGTACGCAGCTGCAAATCTCATGTAGATTGCGAATCTGTCAGCGCGAGGATACCAAATCATGCTGAGCCTCCGAGCTGGCTTCCGTTCCGACGCAGCCGACGTTGGTGCATGTGTCCAGACGAGCAAATACGCGTGGCTATGACGCCCGACGTATTGCACGCACAAGGCCTTTGTCGCCATCGTCTATGCTTCTGGCATCCCCCGGGTGGGACCAAAACAGCCCTATGAACCAAGTGCAATCGGGCTGTCTCGTCAAACTTGCGTGGCGTAGGAAGCAGACAATGGCTGAGAAATGTTCCTAAAGACCTCCGTCTTCATGACAGCTAATGGGTGACGTCCATGGGTGGCTCGTGTGGGAGGCAGCGATCAGCCTTTCCTGCCAGACGTCGTTGAGGCGGAGGTGGAGTGCAAGTAGCCGACGGGCACTCAATTCTTCTACGATCGGCCCCCACTGGGTGGGGTACCCTATATTCGTCACTTGAAGTTGCTGCACGTATCAAGTTTGGGACCATTGTTGAGAGCAGGATCAATGTCTTTCGAGCCGCCAGTGCCCTGTATGCCACCCGAATCGGAGGATATCGTTGCAATAATACGCTGGAACGCCTTGGAAGCGTCGTCGCTCTTTTGATCCAGCGTCGCAAGAGACCCTTCCGTCGAATCTTATTGGGGTACACCCCAAAAATGCATGTCCCAGGAAGTTGAACCAATCGCTGACGACAGCGGCTGGTCAGCTTCGAGACTGGGCATTCCCCGACTTGGATGTCCACGAGCAATTGACTCGCCGACCCTGATTGATTCGCCTGCCGAGGTCGTTGCCAGGCTGTCTTCCTACCCCGACTCTACACTATTAGCAGCACGCGACAGCGCCATGGAGCTGCCGAAGAAGGAGCTCACGCCGCTCCTCAAGATCACACCGCCGCGCTACAACGCCAAGATCCCAAACTTCTCGCCGCTCGCAGAGATCCATACGAGCTCATCGTCGCCGCAGTCGGCGCACCCAGCGCCCACTGAGCTCTACTTGAGCACAGAGAGCGTGGCCTTTGCCTTCCAGCCGCGCCAGCCGGTCAAGCAGCCGAGCCCCAGCCCGTCGCTCGTGAGCGACGTCACGCCCTTGTCGTCGCCAGCGTCCGACGTTGTCATTGAGGACGAGTGCTTGTCGATCTTGGACCCGTACTTTGACGTGACACCGTCCCGCCTTCACTTGGCGTTTGACGAAGCCGACCCCAACCACTCGGGGGTCTTGAGCCGCGATGGCCTGCGGCATGGCCTCGAGAGTCTTGGCATCCGGTGCGCCGACTCGCCCGCGATCTTTGACGCACTCCTCTCGTTCGTCAAGGAGCCATTGTCGCGCTCGGTCTTCGAGGACATTGTGCAAAAACTCAAGCTCGGCAATCTCTTTGACGAACAAACGGTCGCGCTCTTCACCGACTCGGTGTACGCGCCGGCGCGGATCGAAGTCGTCGATTTCTCATCGACGCGCCTCTCGCACTACAAGCCCGAGCTCCGGTCCTTCTTTATGAACGACCGCGCGCCGTGGGCGTCCTGTCGCTGGATCAACGTCCAGGGCCACGACCACTTGAACCTCAAGCGGCTCGCGATCAAGTACCGGCTGCACCCGCTCGCGATGGAAGACACGATCGAGCTCAACGAGCGGCCGAAATTCGACTCGTACGAAACCCATCGGTTTGTCATTTTTCCCGTCTTGCGGCAAACCATTCTATTTCCCAGTAATCGTCTTCCTCACGCATCCGATGGCTCCTGACGATGCCCTCGCATAGAAGAGACCAAGCACGAAGCGCCCATGGACGACAGCTGGTGGAGCTACCTCACAAGCACGTCATCTCCGTCGATGCCGGTCATGGCCGCGTACACATTCCAGCTAGCCGTCGAGCACGTCGCGATCTTCGTGGTCGATGACGATACGCTCATCACGGTCAAGCCGACGCGGCCCAACGACATTTGGCGCACCGTCCACCGGCGCTTGGCCTCGACGTACTCCAAGGTGCGGCACAACGGCGCCAACTTCCTCTTTTACACAGTGCTCGACGTCATTGTCGACGACATGACCAACGCGATGGACCAAGTCCGGCAGTACCTCATGCACTTGGACCGCGAGCTCGCGCGCCTCCTGCATAACTTTGACATTGGCGTCCTCCGCGACGTGCAAATCGAGCTCGCGCAGCTCCCGCGCGTGATCAAGCCGACGCGCGACGTGCTCAAGAGCGTTCTTGAGAGCGCCGAGCTCCCCGAGACGACCAAGGCGTACTTCCGCGACGTCCACGACCACACCAACCATATTCTGGACGAGATCGAGTGGCAGTCGCAAATGTGCCGGGGCATGATCGAAGAGTACCGCGACGCCAAGTCGACGCAGACCAACTACGTCATGTACACGCTCACGATCGTCACGACGGTCTTCCTCCCCGCGCAGTTTCTCACGGGCGTCTACGGCATGAATTTTGGTACTAGTACGTCGGAATACGGCTCTTGATGCTGAGGATAGTTGATGTATAGACTACATGCCCGAGCTCCACTCGCGCTACGGGTACCTCGTGTTCTGGGGCCTCATCCTCTTCATCACGATCACGCTGCGCTTTTACTTTCGCCTCAAGCAATGGGTCTAATCCAGTAGTAGTGCGGACCCTCGCTCACACTACAAGTACTTTAAGTTTGTCGACATCCTCTTCATCAGTGCACGCGTGGATACGATGCTGCAATGCGTCTCGGTCGATGCAGAGGGGTGGCGATTCTTGGTGTCGAGATCTGTGTGGGAACTTGGGGCGTCATGGCCGTAAGCCATGGACTATGCAGCGAATCGATACCCGTCGTGCGCGGCCGCTACCGCGATCGTGAAGGCCCGAGGCCAGCGCGAAGCTTGAGCGTCGTGGTTGTCTGTCAAAGGAAGATCGTCCGGAAGAATGCTACAGCGTATCCGTA